TTTACGCCAACAAAACAAACAACAATATTTATTGATTATTGTACAAAACTTGAGCTCTATATCAAGCATAATTTCACGCAGCAACAATAACAAAATTCAGAACTCTTGCACAAAACATCTTAATTCAATGAAATAACTGTTAGTCTGTTACAAATGTCGATATATTCTTTACCATAAAACTTCCAATAGTCCAGCAAGTCAGCAACACACCACAAAAGTTTGAAACAACTAAGAAAAAAAGAAAAACAGATCGGAGTTTACCTGGGTTGTCGGAGGAAGCAAATCAAAAGAGGTGGGTCGAGTAGGCAGTCGATGGGGATTGGGAGTGCCTGCGCCCTGCCCCCCCTCCCACAGTCCCACGAGTCCCGATTCCCCCCTGCGGCCCTGCCCGCCCCCTCCGGCTCCCATGAGTCCGGTCCCCCCTGCGGCCCTGCCCGCCCCCTCCGGCTCCCACGAGTCCCGCGTTCCCCCTTGCGGCCCATGCCCCCCCTCCTCCGGCTCCACGAGTCTTTTGGATGATTTGATTTCCCGATTCCCCTCGCGCCCCCCCCAGCCCCCAAACCACGACTTAATTTTTTTTGGACCCGTCGGGCTGGCCCGTACCAACCCGTTTAGGCCCAATTTTAATACGGACTTAAATTTTTAAGCTCGGCCCGTCCCATATTTTAAAAAAAATTGGGCTGGCCCGACGGGCCAAGCCCATTTTGACAGGTCTAGATTAAATACCCCTGTACGATTGCTTTTACAGTAGTATGCTCCTTTTATAAAACTAATAATTCCACTCTTTTTTCATAAAATGTTGAAGAATTTTTATTTAGGGTTTATATTTCATGTATATGTTCGGTGTATAAATTTTATATATTACTAATAAATTAAATATTATATTTTAATAAAAAATCAAAATTAAAAAATAAAAACTCTCACAATAAATGTTCGTAATTTAAAAAATATTTATTTTAAAAATAAATAAATTTAAATTTTTATACTATTTACAATATGACATTTTGTGTTTAAATATAAATCTTTTTATAAATTTTTTATGATTTTATCTTAAAATAAATTACTTTTTAAAAATAATAGTGGTAATTTTGGTGAATTATTTTTTTGGGATACATATTTTTTTATGTCATTATCTTATCACTTAAAATTTTAAATGTTACAAATTGGTGAAAGGAATTAAATGTATTATTAGTAATGTGTGAAAGGGATGTTTCAACAAATACAACTAAAATAATATTGTGACGTGATTTTTTTTTTTTATTGTTTTGATGATAAACTGGGATTTCATCTATCCAATAGGAAAAGCAAAGCAAGAGTTCAACAATATTATAAATAGACAATTAGGTTTAGATGTTACTTACTTTCGAACTTGTTTGAACTTCCAATGGTACGGGATGCTTGCTTTACGATTAGGGTTAATTTAATCCTATTATTTAATAATATTGAATATTAGTTTACCATTTTATCTAATTAAGATGTTTAATGGGTTTGTGACACTTAGCTCGACTCCTGAATTCATATTTAATCGTTCATGCGAATGTAATAACTGATTAATTGGTGAAACCAAATAAGATCATATCAAATGACTTCATTTAATCTAACTAAATTAATAGAATGTTATTTAAAAAATAATCAAATCGATAAAAATAATGAAATAACAAAGATAACTAAAAAATAAAAATATTTGAAATTGGTTTTACTAATTTTCTGACATCTATATGTGGCCATTTATAACACATGTATAAGTTAGGGTGGTTAGGTTTTATGTTAACCCTATTAAAAGTAAGAATTTTTTAATAAACTCGAATATTCATCAACAATTCTATTTAGTTCAAATGTCTGTGACAATTGACCTAATCTCGTAAACTCATATTTAATCGTAAATAAAAATATAATAACTGATTAATCGAAAAAACCAAACAAAATCATTTAATTGACTTTATTTAGCAACTGTTGAGGATTTTTCATCTTTAGCAAACAAATAACTTTGTTTTCTTCGACGAAAAAACTAATATCTTAACAAAAAGCAAGTTGTAAATCAACGTAGGAAGTCCAAAGTTTAATTTAGTTAAAAAAAGTTAACTAAATGTTATTTAAAATTTAATTGAATTAATATAAAATCATATATTAACCAATTAATCGAATTAGATCGGTTAATTTGGTTGGTGATCAAATTAACAAAATGTTTGGACTCAAGCCCAATTTTGTTAGTTTCATTTTTTTTGTTTATTTTACAGAATAAACAAAAATAAATTAAAAATCTCAACACTATAAGCTTAATAACATTAAAATGTTTCAACAAACATTAATGAAAATACACCAAAAATATACCTACCTATATTCTTATAATTTTAAATCGGTTGATTCAATAAACCAAAAAAAAAAGTCAAACCTAAACTGGATTAATCCGTTTAATTACGTTCAGTTCCGAATTAACCAAAAAAGTGAATTAAATTAATCATTTTAATCTAATTTATTCGATTAATTTAATTTTAATGGAAAATTAGTCACTTCGTAACCTGGTTGAGAATATCTGCAGGCTTTGCCTTAGGCCCAATGAGAATTTCCAAATGAATGCAATCCAATATTGCTTGGGCCAATGTTACCATAGCCCATATTTGGCTTGGGCCAATGTTACCATAGCCCATATTTGGCTTGGGCCAACATGTTCGGCCTTATGATTGTAACGTGTTTGACCAATTGTCCCTGACGCATGAGAAATATGAACACAGAACAGAACAGAGTCATGTTTCATCACCACAGTAATTGACTAATTTCGGCCATGTTCCGGGAAATACAAAGGTGGAGACAAGATGACACAGACTTGCAATGACCAACCTGGAAAACTGCCAGGGTTCCATCAGTGAGCTAGTTTCTTAATCAATGTTTTCCATTGTTGAATTGTTTATTCTTTAAAGGAGGAGACAAGTTATGGAAAACCCCAAGAACAGGGTCAACCATCTATCCTGATAATTATCCTTTCAGTCCATTATTAGTAAAAGACAAGAGCATGTACCATGTTCTTCAGCTGGTAAGTTTGGCTATGCAGACTTCACTGCAAACCAATCGCTCATGCCGAAGGAAAAGTATTGCAAAGAAAGCTCTGTTTGCCTGCATTCTGAAGCAAACCCCTTTTGAGTTTAGAGACTGCCAGCTTCATTAAGTTGTCTATGGTCCCTGGAGAGTGGTTTGCTTTTGCATATACAGTTATCCCATACACAACAACAGGAGTGATGGTCCTGGAGAGTGGGGGAGTTCACATTAATTATTTCTTCCTTCCGAGATGGACCACATATCCTGCATATGGCTCAGATTAACAAAGCAAGCAGACAAGAAGATTGGGTTGAGAAGGATCAGGTCGAGCTTCTGCCATGGTAAAAGAATTAACAGGAAACTATTCCAGAGGTTATAATTCGACTCGGGTAGAGTTTGAATAGTAAAATTTCTATGTCTCATGGATTGGAATAGGGTTCAAGTAGTAATTTCATGATACCCTTTGCTCTTCTGCATCGAGATTTCGATTTAGGATTTACAATTTTCTACCCCATTTCCATCTGTCAATCATGCCATTTTCCCCTTAATTAACGCACGAAATTTTGTCTCTCATTCCCCTTCGTAGTCCTAGATTCCATTCAGACCAGGGCATTTCCCATCCCATTACAGTTGTTTCCATGTGTCTGAAAAATGAGGAAATTCCTCCATCCAAGTCCATGATTTTGTCCCAAGTTTCAAACCCAACCCGATCCTTGTTTGTCTTCGTTTCCTCTACCTCAGATTCTTCTCCTAATTATGATTTCCCCCTTGTTTCCTCCATCATTGCCCCACCCATTATCCTCCCCACTCCATCCACTTGTTTCCATATTCTAAACTAAACAGTACTTTACAGGTTTATATTCGTTACATTATCGATTTATAAATTCTATATACTATCAGTAAACCGAATATCAAACAGGCATCAAATATAAACGTTTATGTTATTACTTTTATATAGCAAATTTATATAAAATTTGAAGTGGGTAATCCATTTTGGGTGTATCATGACCCCATGGTCAACCACTCTCAACTCTATTTTAATTTCTCTTGTGGGTTCATCATCACCTTAAAAATAATGGGAACATATTCAAAGGTGAGGTCCACCATTAGATATAAAATCAAAGTGGTGGTGGAGCTGGTCAGATTCCTCAAATAAGCCTACTCCAACAACAAAGCAAGTTTATGTTCAATAATGCCAATTAAACAATGACTCAAATATAATATAATAAACTTTATTTTTTTTAGTAATCTTTAAATTTTAACCGTTGAGATATTTAAAAAATATAAAAATAATAGAGGAATTTTTTTTTTAATTTTAATATAATTTGAAATTATAAGCTATGATTTGATTTCAAAGTTGAAAAGCAAATGGACTGACTGTGACATGGGCGTGTCTGTGTCGATATGGCTTTTACTCGTTTGCATGTTTTGTACGCAAAGCTCACGAGGGCTAAATTTAATTTCAGTCAAAATCAAAGACCAAGTCACTTGGACCATACCCACCTTTTTTTTTTGTTTTCCACCGTCACACTAAATTCACATGGAATTCATTGTTTTAATATTTTTATAAAACAAATAGGGTGATTGATAACGATAATAATTTAATTAAAATTAAGTGAGAAAATAGTTTAATTATATA